ATACACTCACAGATTAGAATCACTTTTCCACGCCAAACTCTTGATTGTGCGCTCAAGAGTCTTTGGATATTTGAGAGTTTATAGTTATCTGACAGAAAGCCTAGATCCGTGTTAATCAATCTGTTCAGAAGGAGGAAACCAGCTGAATCAGGAATCGCACAAAGAACCGTCCTGCTGACAATATTCTGGTATATTAAAACAAAACATGGCTCCTGGGTCGATCGTGCAAGAGGCAGGATAGAGACATCTTGAACCCAACTATTGTTTTCATTAGAACTAGTCAGAGCTGATACCTGATGGTGCTCAAGTGTTCCCTGTCTCTCTCTCCTCTCTCCCCTTCTCCTCCCCTCCCCACTATCTCTCTCTCTCTCTCTTCTCTCCCCTCTTTTCCACCCATCTCTCCTCTCCTCATTTTTCTTTGCTCACCCAAACCGGTCGAGCCTGGTTCTTCTAGAGGTTTCTCCCTGTTATTGAGGGAGTTTTTCCTCTACACAGTCGCTGCTCATTGTAGGAACTGTTGGGTTTCTCTATATTAAATAAGATTTTAAGGTCTTGACCTTCTGTGTAAAGTACCTTGAGAATTGTATATTATGATTTGGCGCTATACAAAGAAAATAGAATTGAATTGAATTGAGGCCACTGACAGGGTCTGTTAATTAAAGGGTCTGCTAGTTTGTTTTTCTTCACACATACAGCTCCTCCGGGTTTGGTCTAAAAAGGTTCAGGGTTACTCTGCATGTGGTAAAGCAACTCATGTGACTCACTACACCCTCAGGCAACGTCCACACAATCCATCCATGCTTTATCTTGTCTACTCATCCTTAAAGGGTCATTGGACCAATGAGAAGATGGACCTGTACTGACAGTAGTGTTAAGTGTCAGCAATGCTGTGCATTCACAACGGCTGATGACTGACTGATAAGAACCAATCAGGAAGAGGGCGTCTGTGTCTGCTTGATCCCAATAAAATCAGTTTCTGTTCGTTTTAAACTAGATTGAGGCCAGCAGCATATCCAAAAGTAATTCAAAATATATCTCTTTCACCTTTAAGACAAATAGAACAAATAGTTTGGAACTCAAACACTCTTTATTTTTGTTTTGGCTGTGTGAATGAAATTGTATGTTAAAATATGCAAATAATGAATTATCCTATGAGAAATGTGCTAATTCACATACATCTCCAGAACTGAAAGCTGGAGATTGGATATAGCTAGGTTCAAGATTGTGGTTTAATTGAGTTGACATATTAGAGAAGCTAGATCTGTCTTTTAGTTTTAAACTGTCAACACCCATTAAAAGTAAATGAAGAAACCACTAGACTATAGACAGGAATTAAAGTGAAGGTTTGGTGTATGCAGTCATGTAGAAGTGGAGAATTCTAGTTTGAGGAAACAAAAAGTTGTGAGAAAACGGCTTTTAAAGATGTGTTTGGGATGTTTTCTTTCTACCAGTCTAAAAGAAAAAATGTTGTAGAGGCAAAATAGCTTCTGAAAGAAGAACTGAAAACGGACCAGTGTGTCAAAAAACAATGTTTTTGCCCATTATGTGTCATACTCAGGTAATTTGTATTCACAGTCTAAAATTCCCAATGCATTTATTCACACACATCACTGTGGGATGAGGAGGCTGAATTAAACCAATGGCACACATGACCTGCAAGCCAAGCAGACAGCACACTCTACTGGACAAATTCCAAACTGCGAGGTTTTGAAATGGAACCAGGAAGCAAACGTTGAATGTTTCAACCTTTTGGAAAACAATATTTTCATTCTTTCCGAGAGTTTATACCTACATGCTACACCCAGTAGCACTAGTACTGTGCTCACACTATATCGACGTGTCACAGGCAAATGTTTCACATATGACATGTAATATGTGTATCAACAGTTAAGACTCATCTTTTCAATAATTTAGGTCAGTTTTAACAAAACGAATCAATGCACAGCTGTGTATGCAACTGTAACTGTAAAAATATTGTGTCCATACTTTCAAAACTCTCTAGAAGTCCATCACTGTCCTGAATGCTTTAAAACGTATTGTTCACATTCATTGTAAACAGCCTGTTTTCTCACATTCAGGCTTGATTACTAGATTATGGCGGAATCTCTATGAAACTCACTCATTTCAACCCTTTCTCCCCCTCCACAGCGCAGACATTCACCTTGGTGAGCAGCGACACGTGAGCAACACCGGCCTTGATCTCCACACTGGCCTCCCGTAGAGCCCAAATGTAGCCAGCCCGCACAGAGCATGCTCCACGGCTTCTGACGACAGAACTACTTTGTTACTACTGTTACATGCCCACAAGGAGACTGAGACTGGCAGCCCTGCTAACAGACTGGACCACACACAGATGGACCACCCCTCTCATCCAGACAGAGAGAAAGGCAGATGTACTGCATCTTTAGCACCTATTAGATCTGTCCATACTGACGTGTCCTGAAGCTGAGCATTCGTTCCATGTTGTCCCAAAACATTTCTGCATAGATGTAAGATTGTGAAATGGTTTTTGTTATTTGAAAGGTTCATGGTTACAACTTCTTCATTATGCCTGATGACGACGTCTGACGGTGAAAAAACTAACAACTATGAAAAATGCTTTTGCTGCAAAATGAGTCACCATCTATGGCGTAACAGGTAAAAGGTCCATTACTGAAAAAAGAAGGTTTGGAGGATTAACTTGACTATCAACTGATTCATTTAACTTCGTCCTAACTTGACCAACACAATAGTCATACCTAATTATTACCAGTTATGAACACTGGTAATAATTGAACAAGTTGTGTTTATTGTACAGAGATACTGCAGCACTGGGTGGGACTTACTGATCACCAGTCCCGTGTGTCACGAACACTCCTTTCCACACTGGTTCACACCTGGAGGCCAGTAATTTCCAAGTTGGAGTTGTTTGGCTCAACGCCCCCTCGGTAGTAGTAATGAGGGTGTGTGTACTGTGCACAACTGGCTCCTATTGAAAGGAACCTGTTGAGGTGGTTCGGGCATGTGGCAAGGGCACACCATGGACACCAGTCTTCAACAGCTCTCTAGGCACGTCCCAACTCATTACGCCATTAGGTTGCAGTACACACAAGGGAACGGTTAATCACTGCAACACTGTTATTTTCTATTTCTGTGATCTAGGGCCTGAAACAAGCCATTGGCAAACGTAGTTAGAGTGCGTTATTTATTTCCTTCTGTTTTACTGGTGGATGCAGTTATTGCTGCAACCTACTGGGGAACTGTAAGAGGAATTTACCTATAAAGTATCCAGCAGAAGAGTGCAATATTCAAACATGGTTTTAAATTGTTCAACAGTGTAAAGAAAAATGGAGAACAGGTTGTCAGTCTTTCCCATCCCTGGGTCAGCTAGTCCATCGTCGTCTGTGGTCACAGACACTTATTTTTTTATTTATCTTTAATTCATCTTTAAAGAACTATAAATATAAAGAACTAAACTATTTCACAATCTTGACTGTATGTATGGTTTGTTTTGGGGTCATATAGCTCTATAGAACCATGTTGCCAAATACATACACACGTCAATATACATAACTTTTGATACCTTGCTAAGTATTAAAGTCATTTTAACGTGAGTATTTAAAATGAGAATATTTTACTGATGTGGAGGAGGGGATGCTGGCTGGTACCGAGTTGCTAGAGGGGACTGTATAGCTGTATATAGGAGCACTTGAGTCATCTCACCGCAGATGGGCTAAGCACCAAAACTCGACACACATGCAGTGCTTTACTTTAACCCCAAAGTGATCGCTGATGGTCTTTGATTTTCACCTACTCTGATTTCAATTCTTTGTGTTGATTTGAGACCAGAGGCTCCCTTATCGCTCTATTTTCACATCCTTTGCACCTGCATAGTAACAGATTGTCCTTTATTGATTATACATATATAAATATATAAAAAGTATATAAAGAAACTGAAAGCAGGTTTTTACTTCAACAAGGTGCCACTTTGTGCTGCTGTTTTTCTCTTTTTTTGGACACAACTATGTATCTTGCAGAAGTCTGTCTCTTTGTTTTTTCTCTGTTTGGTTTACATCACTTAGCGGATCTACAGTGAAGAGGCTGAGGGACATGACGCAGATCAGACGCTTTGGGTTGGAATCTCTGTGGTGGTGAAGGATCGCAGAATAGCACATGTACGAAGCAATAAGAAGAACTTTGGAGCTCCAGGACATAAAAAGAAATTTAAAAAGAGATGTATAAAATGTAAAAACAAAATAAATAAAGCAAGATAGAATAATTTATGTACACACTGAAAAGAAGAGCAAATATTATAACTATAAGAGGTTATTATTAATATTATTAGGGTCAATATGCAAAAAGTTCATACCCATCTGTTTTATATCATGTGAAATAAATGTTGATGTTCTTAAATTGTTGTAATTGTTCTCTTGTCAACCATGTCAGCTTGACTTCTGCTTTTCAGGTTAAGTCTTCTGAGTTTTCTCTGTCCATTTATGTGACTTAAACTGGATCTGTGGTTCTCAGCCTTTGACTTGTGACTCTTTCAAATGAATCAGAATGTACTCTCCAAGTTGGGAACCTACCGACTTAAGAACCTGCACAAACTGAGGGTTAAATGTTAATGCAGGATGTACAGGGTGGTTTTTAGCCATAGGGCCATGCACAAAAATAAGATTATATTTAAAACATTGAGTACAGCCATTGCACCATCCTCTGATCAGAATGTGTGCAGAGGTTGGAGTTGCTTTAAAAAATTTAAATTAATTAAGATTATTCCTTTAGCCATTGTTTAAAGCTCCATAAAATGCTAAAACCTGGACCTTTAAAGGTTCAGTGTGTAAGATTTGGGTGGAAGGGATCTATTGGCAGAAATTGAATATAAATGAATCGTAGCAATGTGTTTGTAGTGTGTAATAAGCTAAATTGTACAAATAGATTCTTCTTTACCCTTTATATTTAAAACCTTTATTATCCTTCTGGGTGGGGGGGGGTTCCTCTCTACGAAGGCCGCCATGTTTTTTATAGTAGTGCAAACTGGACAATCTAAACAACTTTTGAGTTTTCATGACCACGGGTATTTTTCATGTTTGGAAGGGGAGAGTGAGGTGAGGGGTATTCAGCTGCAACATGCAAATCCACCACTAAACTCTACACACTGAACTAAAGGAATTACTAATTGGATTTTCCACGCTTCATTTTTAGGCTAAAACAAGTGGGTTGGGGGTTTACATCCTGCAAAAAATGTTAATGATGCCTAATTGGTATTTGTAAATGCAAAAGGTTTAGCAGATCATTCCACTCACTAATATGTAATAATGAATAACCTATGATCTAACTAGAGGGAGCATCTTTTCTCCATATTAGCTCAGGCAGTGCAGACGCAGGCCTTGGTCTCAATGCAACAAGTTGGCCACTGAGGTCAGCGTGGTTCAGTGTCCGCACAGAAGGAGAGCCGCTCGCAGTGAAGGGATGGAGGATTTAAAATTAAAAATAAATAAAAACCCGCAGTTGATCCCAAAGTAGCGGGTGCCTTCACCAACACGCACCTTGCTGAGACAACAACGTGCCTTTTCAGCACTTTTTCACCGGGATCATTTTTCTGTTTGTCGGAACACGTGGAGCTGAGAGGCCACAATGCCAAAGATCGTCCAGGTCTACGAAGATGACTGACTGCTCCTCCGGGCAGTGCTGCGTAAACCCCTCACACTTGAGCGTTTAGCGATTGTGTCCTACTCATCGTGTTTCATCATACCGGATGTGACAGGAAAACCAACAAAAACGTGTCATTTACTCTGAAAGGATGATGAGGAGGATCAAAGATGTTTACGCTAGTTACAGTTGGGTTTACTTGGGTTCGTTCTGTTGGTTAAATGTCACGATAACACGGTGTAAACGACGTGGGGTGGGTACTGGTGGAGGCGCTTCGCTCTCGCGCCGAGTGAGGCATCTTGTCCGCGGAGAGCAGCTTGGACCATGCGGGGCCGTGACGTCACGCAGAGCCGCCGCTGGTGTTGTGCGCTGAGAGAGTGAGCGGAGGAGAGGGACCGCGTCAGGGCAACTTTTCCACTGGAACATCAGCGACACATCTCCCCGTGGTTCGTCTCAAAATGGCTCCGATAACGACCGAAGGAGCCGAGCAAGAGTCCCAGCCCAAGCCGGATCAAAACGGCCCCGGCGAAACAGCAGAAACCGGCAGAGAGGAGCAGGCCGTGCCGGACCCCAAACAGGAACCGGGCGACAACAACGATAGCAGAGCAGGAATGGACGTGAGCGCTGGTCACGGTGAGCCGGAGCAGCTCGGGGACATCCCGTCCCGAGTCCCCGGCACCGACAAAGAAGCCGCGTCTCCCGGCGAAAAGCCACACGGCGACGAAGGGGAGCCCGGCGGCGAACTCGCCGAACCGGGGAAAAGTCCCGTTCAGGGGAGTTTGGCGAGTAGTGTCGACTCCGCACAGGAGGGCTCCCGGGTGCTGAAAGAAGAACAAAGAGAGGGGGAGAACGTGTCCTGCTCGCCGCCTGCGGAGCGCACAAAGACCGCGGAGAGAGCCGGACACGGCACCAAGAGACGGGCCAGCGTGGAGCTGACCTCGTCGGATGGAGAGCCGCTCAGCCGGATGGATTCGGAGGACAGGTCTGTAGAAGCCGCGAGAGGCCTACACTGATTCCCACAAGCAGCCGAGAGCGGTGTTAGGTCACAGCATGGTGCCGAGTTCACACAGCTTCCATTACTTCTCCTCCGCCTGGTAGAATAGTTCCTCAACGCGTTCACACAGCGCGTTTTTGCATGATGGAGTTAGTCGCAGGCCACATTAGTGCAGATCGTATCTCCAGCTGCAGCACTTAGAAAGAACTGATGTCAGCCTGGCTCAGTGATAGTGAGGTGGGGGGGGGGGGGGTTGATCTGTTAAATCCCATCTCTTCCATTTAACACGGATGTAGAGGATGCATCGACTTTTAGGATTGGGGACTGTAGCACATGCAGGAGGACAGTGGTTCCAAGCCTTGGTGGCTGGAAACCCTTAAAGCAGTGTCATAACTTGGGGCCTATTTGAAAACTTTTCAAAACTCCAAAGAGTGGTAACAAGAGAAAAAGCAAATAACGGAACAACAATTTTTAAAAACGAATATAAGCTCGTGGAGAGCATTTGTTTAACCTTCCTGTCCTCAACCATGTCCCCAGCCCTCATGTTTGTCATGCAGCCTCTGGTGGTGGTCACTGCAGCCATGTGTGGAAACCTGGGCTGCAGGAGAAGAGGAGTGAATGTCCGTGCACATGGCTGCAAAGGCATTGCCATGTTGTTACGCTTTAGAATATAGTCAAATCTCTATTTAGATCATCACAATGGGCTTTGCATAGTAAGGGTGAGACCTTACAAACACACACACACACACAACAGTTCCCACAATGAACAAGGCTCTTTGAGCAGAACCAGACTCAATGTGGGCGGCCATCTGCCTGGACCGGTCGGGGGTGAGTGGGGAGGAGAGGTGAATAGAAAGAAGTGGAGGGAGTGAGCAGAAACAATTGTGTAACCATCTTATTAAAGCCATGTCACACTGGTTGTTAAAATTACATTTACAAGAGTGATAATTAAATTTGTAATTATGTTATTAGTGATAGCAGCACCCGTTAATGATACTTATTGTTGAGTAGTATCAGATCTGCCGCTCTGGAGTCGCAGATAACTGGAATGAGAGAGAGAGAAAGAAAATATTTATATATTTTATACAAAAAGTCATGCCAGGAATTTAGGTGATGCTCAGAAAAAATGTATCCACTCTTTTAAAACCACTAACTTCCTGATGATTGTGTATGAGGAAAGAATCCCACTGGGCCGGTGTGTGTCACATCATGTTGCAATACAGGCTGTAGGCACTAGGATAAAATCTCCTCGTCTCCCAGCGCTGCTTGTGGGGGTTGAGTTCAACTCCCCCACTGCATCACTGGACAAGTCCCGTCATGAAAAGTTGAATCATACACATCTAGAGATTGTGTTCAGTATATCTTGAAATGCTGGAGGTTAAGGGCAGAGAAGGTTGCACGCTGTTAAGCCCCATGAGTCAAATGTGATTTGTGAATTAGATAAGATAATCCTTTATTCTTCCCACAGTGGGGAAATTTGCTACAGTGAGTTAAGTACGGTAAACTAATAATACTTATAAATGTGGGAGGTATAAAAAGAATTCAAGAAATACACATGAATACAAATTACTTGTAAAATTGTAAACAGAATTGTACCGTGTGAACATGTGTACAGTAAAATGTGGGCTATACGAATAACGTTTGACTGATAATCAAAAAAAATATGCACGTCTCTTGTCTATTTACATTTGATTTGTATAGCCCATATTCACAGATCGCAATTCATCTCATAGAGCGTAACAAAGTGTGACATGAGACAAGAGTGAGGGAAAACCAGCAAATAACTATTAACAAGAAAAATGTAGAAACCTCAGAGAGAGCCACATGTGAGGGATCCCTCTCCCAAGACGGACATCAACAAAATAAAAGTATTTACAACATTGATCAGAAGAAACCGTTTTGAAGATAATGGAAAGGAGTGTCAGCGTTTCAAGTAATTATACATAATAAATCGTCTGGTGTAGACGAAGGGAGCAGCAGTGACAGTTGAAATTCAAGAGTTATTGGCAGCAGTGGCACAATGTGTGAGTAGGTGTGTGGTACATCGAGCAGTCATCGTCCATTAACAGCTGCCACCACGATCGACGACCCATCGTTATTCACCACACGGCAGTCACTTCAGAGTTTAGTTCCCGCAGCATCATTGCTTATAAACCTCCGAGTTATGACGATAAACACCGAAATAAGTCAGGGGCCATAACTGTAGTCTTTACCCGTAAGTTGAATCAAGCACTGTTGCGAGTCAAATTCAGTAAGTACGGTTGTGTATATAGGGCTTTGGTTATTGATTGAATTTATTTCCCCCATCCGCTTTCTTACTTTCCCTCTCTCTGAACTTTGCACAAATTGTGTCGGCATTAGAAAGTGAATCCCCCCCCCCCTCGAGGCTTCTGTGACCAATTCAAACGGTGTGAGTCAATCAGTGTAGTTGTGATACACGATAAGGTGGGAAATGACTTAACTGACGCGGCCTGTTGTGAAGCCTGTAGCGCATACACCTACACAGCAGCTCGTCGGGTACAGTATGAGTAGTACAGTGTTCTACAGCTACAGTGGATCACTGGATGCTCCACTGCTCATAGACCCATTTCCACTTTGATTACAGGAAATTTAAATGACAATTGTGTCATGACAGTTTCCATTTTCCTTTTTAATAACTTATTTATCAATGTTCCTTCATTTGACCTCTGGCAAACATAAAACACATGAATCTTTTTTATTTTAATGGAAGTAATGGTAGCAGTTGCACAATTTCTGTGAATATAGAGGAAACGTTAACCAACTGAAGGTTTCATGGGGGATTTTCCGATGAAGTCTGTGTCTGGTTGTTGAAAACCCCAGTTGAAGACAAACATGATATGTTAAACTCGAGTCAGATCAGTTTGGGTATCAGCTGTTAAGGTCATTGTTCCTGAAAGGAGCGGTTAAAGTTTGTTGTGACTAGGGCGTAGAGTTTTAGTGCCACTAGAACGCTTTCGCGGAAAATCGCAGATTGTCTTCAGCGCAAGTGTCAGACTGAGCTGAAGCCTGCGGAACATCTGTGGGGAAACCTGAAGATGTCAGTTTGCAGATGCTTCTCTGAGTCTAATGGAGTGTGAGAGGATCCGCAAGGAAAAAAGAGATAAGCTGCCCAGATACAGGTGAACACGGCTTGTAGAGACTTTACACTGGAAGACTTTAACTTATTTTCCAAAGCTCTGATTATAGGACCTGAATACTTTTATCTGAGTTTTCAGTTTCTGATATTTGATAAACCTTAAACGTTGTCATTATGGGTTGCTAAGTTGTAAATTGATCAGCAAAGCTACAACACATCATTGAACAGAAAGCGAAAGTTTCTGAATCCTCTTGCTATATTTCCACCGAAGAAAAATCGAAACGCTTCCATAATCATCCAGCCGAGAAGCAATAGACTCCTCAGTTAATCATGTGAAGGCCTATAAACCTGAATAATCATACTAAATATAAAGTCTTCAGTCATTCACATTAGGAACGCTATTAACCCACAATATGACAGTATATCCACAGAGGCCACTCGTTCTGTTTTGCTCGCTGCAATCACCAGAGGTGCATTCAACAACGGCGATTAAATTCTGTAAAATTAGGATGGTACTCAGTCGAGCACAGAGCCCCATCAAGGCCGAACAGTCTCCTCATAAAACCACATTTACTTCCACCAGATCCATATTTTTATCTGGATCTGCAGCAAATTGCACAAACTCATAAATACCAGTTCCTTCAATTTGCCTGCTTTTTTTATTCTATTAATATCCATTAATTATTTTTGTAAAAAAGGAAGTAATTCAAATATAATTCCCAGATCTGTCTCCAACCGCCCCCAAAAATGCAGTAGTTACAAATGGTTACACATATTGTTTCTGGATAATAGACTTTACCCTGCTGTTTGTTGGTATTGAATAGCACATAGATAGATAGACAGATAGATAGAAACTTTAATGATACAGAAGGAAATTCAAGCATCCAGTGGCAGTAACATACATTGAACATACATTAGACTTGACTTATGCATTAGAATTAACTTGTAACACAGTAACCATGTTGAAATTGGCCTGAGGTGAATGTAAATTTAAATGTGTACAGAGGAATTAAGGAAATTAAATTAAACAATTGAAGCTAAATTAAACTTTACAGAGAAATTAAACATTTGCATAGGATTTCAATATGTACAGAGGAATTAAAAATGTGCAGGAATATTAAATATTTGCAGAAAATGTGCATAGAAAATAAATACAGAACTGTGTTCAGTTAACCTGTGCTAATCAAAAACTATATAAAAACTAGAAGGTAACTATAGAAATAAATATAAAAATGTTCTATACAACATATGAACCTACAGAAGGTCAGCTCTAACTCTTGAGAAACCATTTTTAATTGGACCCACCTCAGAAAGCAAAGCTTTTATACAACGTCCAAATGGGGCGGCTGTGGCTCAGGAGGTAGAGAGGATCGCCCACTGACGCTGTAAACGCTATATGTATGTGTGTGTATGAACATGTACTGTAAATCAGCATAAAGCAGCATAAAAATCAAGTTCATTAGTCAATTGCCATCCATTAGGGCTGGTGAATTCCAAAAACCTAGTCCACATTGGCTGTATATTGTTTTTAACTTTAATAAAAGCCCTATGAGACAAATTCTGATTTGGGAATATGGGCTATACAAATAAAACGTGTGTGTTTCCCCTATATTTCTTTTGGAAAGGGCTGTGCAGTGGCACCACTAATGTTACCACATGTCCACTTCCTTTATCCCTCATCTCAAATCAAAAGCTCTCTGTGGAGTCCTGTAATTGTGACTTCACACATTGCAGCTGTGGCAATACTTAAAAAGGAACGTCTATAATGTGTGTGTGGCTCACGGAAGAGAGAAATTCAACCGCTGTAAAAATAGGTAAGACGATCTGCTGCCCGCTCTGAGACGTATTCGGCTGCCTGTTGACTTTGGGTAATCCTGCTGTTGCGGCAGTTGTCGAACCAGACAGTAATTTTAGTTCCCATGCAGAGCAGAGGGGCAGCTGGGCACAGAGTAGGAGTGTGAGTGATGTACAGTCAACGTGTGTGTGTCGAGGGTGTTAATCCTCTTGTAGGATGTGTAAACTCAGCTCCCACAGAGAACCAGTATGAGCAGTGACCAGTGCTGATAGTCTTTTGGCTGCGACACACACACACCTGTTGCACTTCTGTGGGAGCTGTGAAATCTGCTCATGTCACACATGGATCCTAAAATGTGTGTTTTACATTATTGCCGCCAGTTTCCAGATTAGATTTAAATGCTAGTACATGATACGTGATTATTGACTTAAACTTGGCACAGCACCTTTAAATGGTACACATATAAAGCACTTTACTATCCAGATGATCTCCCACCATGTCATTCATGGTCATACAGTGCATGTATCAGCAGAGCTTTCTCTATTAGAACGGTATCTCTCCCAAGGACACTTTGGTATGTGGAATGGCAAAGACTGGGATTGAACCTCCAACTGGTTAGAGGACAACCCGCTTCATCCCCTGAGCCACAGCCGCCAGCGATGAGATCTTGTATGGACTGTAACTTGTGTTTCTCTGCTGGGACAACTTTTCTTTCCCCCCTGTGTATTTTTGGTTTTACATTTTTGATCCGTTTCTAATATCTCCGTCGTGTGTGCCTCTGCTCCAGTATCGGCAGCACCCTGATGGACATGGAGAGCACGGCATCCAGCGGTCGCTCCACTCCGGCCATGCTCAATGGCCACAGCGGGGGTGCGGTGTCTGGGAGCGGCGCGGTGCCCGCGGGGGGCAAGTCTCTGAGCTACACGTGCTGCTGGGATCACTGTCAGATGCTGTTTCCCAGCAGTCCTGACCTGGCTGAGCACATCAGAGCCACACATGTGGACGGACAGAGAGGAGGGGTGAGTGTCTTACTGTCAGGTTACTGAGTGAGCTGCTCCTGAGGTGTGTGTCAATGTAATTGTGTTTTATTTAGTAGGATAAAGACACTACTCTATCAGCTCCAGTGGTGTCAAATAACAGAATATATTGAAATGTAGCAGTTGTAAGGAGAATATATCCAACCACACATTACTGAGTTAAATAGGAAGACATGGACAGATGCACAGTGAACATCTGTGTGGTCTGTGTGGTCTCTTGCTGCCTAATATATCCCTTGGCAGGTCAGGTGATCAGTGATTTCCATCATGTGGCTAATACGTGCAGTACTGCTATTTCAAACAAAATATCCAGAAGAAAATAAAAGTATATAAATCTATATAAGTCTGAATATTCTCTTTTCAGATCAACAGTAGCAGGACTATTCCATGTGTACTGTTGTTTGCTAGATTTATACTGCATCGCAAATGTTGTAGTCTCCTCTTCACCAACACCACCTGGTGGATTGGAGTAGAACAGGTTTTTATATCAATTATTTGTTCACGTCAGCAGGATGATTCACAACCAAGGTTCCGGATTATGTACACGCACTGCGTTTCCACCAAATGTATCTGGAACCTTGGCGTCGCCTCCTGATCGATCGGTTCGCAAATTTAGTTCCCAGATGTCGACCCCTCAGTGATCTGTGGACCAGAACCAATATACGTTGAAGTTTCTTGTTTGATCACGACAGGACTTTCTCTGTGTGTTGACTGTTTGTGTGTCTGTCACACAGGTGTTTGTGTGTCTGTGGAAAGGCTGCAAAGTGTACAACACGCCATCAACCAGTCAGAGCTGGCTGCAGAGACACATGCTGACCCACAGCGGGGACAAACCATTCAAGGTGACAACACACACTTCATCTACCCGCACAAGTCCGTTTTACCACACACACGTTCTCCTGGTCGAATCAGTGCACACTTCTAATATTGCGTCACCTTGGGGAACTCATTACATTGACTCAAGATTAACTTTAAATCCTCTGTTTCTTCAGTGTGTGGTGGGAGGCTGCAACGCCACGTTTGCCTCTCAGGGGGGGCTGGCCCGTCATGTCCCGACTCACTTCAGCTCACAGAGTTCATCCAAAATGTCCAATCAGGGAAAAGTGAAGGAGGAGTCTCCGTCCAAGGCCGGCCTAAACAAGAGGCGGAAACTCAAGAACAAACAAAGACGCTCACTCCGTATGGACAATTCACACACAGACAGAAACAATACATAACGCCATATTGTCACACTGGTTCACTCACTCGAACTACGTATTCATCATGTCAATATTTTGTTTCTTCCAGCCCGACCTCATGACTTCTTCGATGCTCAGACCATGGACGCCATCCGTCATCGAGCCATCTGCCTCAACCTGGCAACACACATCGAGAGCCTGGGCAATGGACACAGTGTGGTGTTCCACAGCACGGTAGGCACACATACACACAAGTCCATTAACATGTGTGTGTATGTGTATATTTTTAAATGGATGTTACTTTTGTTAAAGAATATCACATTAAGTCCCCATGATAAAGGTACTAGTGTTTTTGTGTTTATATTCAGGTAATAGCCAGAAGGAAAGAAGACTCTGGGAAGGTAAAGCTCTTGCTGCACTGGACACCAGAAGACATGTAAGACATGGCCTCATCTTCTCCTCCTCCTCCTCCTCCTCCTCCTCCTCACATCCTTCTCTCCCTTCCTTTCCCTCCTTCTCTGGTCTCCTCAGCCTCCTGTGGTGTCATCCAAGTGTCCACAAGCCCCGACATATTGAAATGGCGTCATTTACACCACGCTTTATTTAAACCAAGTTTATTAAATCGTGGGAGATGTTTTTTTCCACCTTTTCTGTGTCTGGGAGAGAGATTAATGTGTTGTGTACCCTAACTTAAAATAGTCAAATACTAGAAAAAATCAATTGTGCTAATATTATACCTGGCCACCACAAATAAATCTATTTGAAACACTTGGTAATCTCCCAGATTAACATTACTGTCGACAGGTGGCATAACATTCACAAGTTTTATATTTTACTGAGACTGACACATGACACGGAATGAGCTGGTATTGACATTATCTACATAATGTAACGTCAACATCATCATTCCCTGAGAGCGTCTTTAAGATACAAAATAATGAATTTTGGATTTGGGGGTTCTGCCCCTGACCCCCTCAGAAAAGTTTCCTCTGGACCCCGAATCCAGATCAGCTCATCTTCTCCAGATCTCTGACGAGACTGGAGCTTTCCACTGTTCACCATGCATTGAAAGTCTCACTGTCACATGAGGAGAAATAAAATAATTTTGGTAAACGTGTTCTCGAAACCTCTGCAGACTGCCAGATGTGTGGGTGAATGAGGGCGATAGACTGCAGCAGAAGACCAAGGTGGTTCATCTGTCGAAGCTGCCCACAGACACGGCTGTACTCCTCGACCCCAACATTTACAGGTGTGTGTGCGATATCCTGTGAGGCAAACATTCAATTACTTTGGATATTGATAAATAACCAGAAGTCTCTCCTCCCACAGGATGTTCTTCTAACGGTTCCAGAGAAGCTCTAATGTCACATCCTGCTAATCAGACCTTAAGAAGGAGGCCGTGTGCTTATCCCTTCCTCTCCATCTCCAAAACCCTCTCCCCCCTCCTCCCTCCCCCAGAGGATGCTGGGAGTGTAGTTATTGTTTGTCCTGGCTGTCTCAGGCCCACAGTGTTTTCTTTTTATAGGTGCTGAGTTTACTGAGGACCCGTAGGGCAAGATGTTGCTTGTTTTAGGTAACACAACTAGACTGAAAACTAACTTGACAGTGCTGTAACTGTAGACCTGTGTAGAAAGAAGCTGTCTTTGTAAATACTTGAGATTTGTAATATATTTTTATACTTTGAATTTTTTACTCCACTGTAGATAGATGCCTTTTTTCCACCAAACATGTTTAAATAGATGTTTTTAAAACTGATAATATTGTTCATGTGCATATAGCATTGCTCTGGTTTGATGCCATTAAACTTTTCCAACCTCCGTCTGCTCCGAAGTCTTCTTTGTGTTCCACATAAAATACGATACACTGTTACACAACGGCCGAATGGTTTGAACGTATGCCACGTGAGCAACAGCTCCCCGGTTCTTCTTCTGACTATTGTATGTTTCTACATTTCTCTCCTTCTCTCTCACACCACTTCTGGTCACATTCACTGTGTCTTTCCAGATAAGGCTCCAATGCCTCAATAGCAATACACTTAAGAGTTGCAGAATAGTCAGGTCCATGACCTTTGGACATTGACACAATGTCTGTAATGTCCTCCACAGTTTGAGGTGTAAATGTAAAGCTTTAATTCAAGGGGTTCAATAAATAACAAAAAAAAGACAATCCTATACATTGTCAAAGACTTGCAGTCATTTTATACATGGTCCCTCCCTTTTTAGAGGTAAATGATAAATATCTGAAGTCTTCATGGTCATTTGTGTCTATATTTTTAAAACCTTTTTGAAATATTTACTTGAACTTTCAGGTTACGTGTATACTTTTTTCAAGTATTGATACTTTATGGAAAGAGGAATATGTAAATGTATTTTTAAAAGGGTATTTAATTATTAACCTTTTTTTGTTCCTTGGTTCTGACAACAAAAACATTAAACTGTTGTACTTTTGCACGAGCCAAATGTATCCACGTCCATCACCTCCTCCCCTGTGTTTAAAATGAATGACTCCAGTGTTAAATAATGAGGTTATACAATACACCTACTCAAATATTCTACCATTACTGACAGTCATTTCTTAATTCTTTTTGTCATTGCTGCTCCCTTCATCTCTATAAGACATTTTCTTATGCATAAAAACATATGACACACTTCTCAATTATGTTACAGTTTCTTCTGATCAATTTTGTAAAACTGTTAATTTGATGAGTTCAGTTACACGTGGCATCTATTGCACCTCTGTCCGTCCAGGGAGAGGGACCCTCACATGTGACTCTCTCTGAGGTTTCTATGTTCTTTTCCTCTGTTAATAGTTTTTTTTCAGTAGTTTTTCCTTCCTCTTGTTAAGGACCTTGTTAAAGCCCTATGAGACAAACTGATTCCTAATTATGGGCTACACAAATAAAATGTCATTGATTCATTGAAGTTAAACCAAATCCAGACATGACAACCGGTAAAGGACCGTGGATGGTTCATCAGATCATCCATCGAAAAGACTCGTGAAAATGAATTAAAATGGAAAAAAAAAAAAGAGCTCTGGGTCGTCCGGAAACTCGCTTACGTCATCTGTAGTGGCCGGAAATCGCAGACGGAGCGTGTCCGCAGAGAAGGATGGCGGGTCTGGTGAAGAAGGTACAGTAGAGGTCACGTCTTTGTTCGAAATGGCAGAAATGCTGCAGCAGCAGCAGCTCGGTTGGTTTCTCAGCTGCACCGCGTTTATCTTTCACACCAGTGATTCAGAATGAAGCGACGCACGCAGCGTGAAGGCTGCGGTGCTTGCAGCTAGCTGTTAGCTGTTTGGCTAATGTAGCTAGGTGGAGCTAAGCTACGGAAGCTTCTCTGTGTTTCCGACACTACAAAGCAAATGGTCAAGATTTATAATGAATAATTCCAAGTAATAATAATAATTCCTTCAACAAACAGCACAAGTTTACAGTGTAAACTCCTTTTTAACTCATATACAGTAGATTTAATTGAGTATTTATTACAATGTGAATATTAGCAACTCAGTTTGAATTCAAAGTGTTTTGTCATCAGTGTTTTTACATACAGAGAGGGTTAGGGGCCTGTGAAATAAATGAGAACCAGTTAGAATATAGAATATAACTCCTGGTGGAGAGTCCCTTGATCGTGATGCCTTCAGAAAAACACACGGGATGCTGCACATATGTGTTCTGGAGTGTGTGTGATTAGCTTCTGGAGTAAAAATAATAATGGGGAGAGGTTAAAAATCAATATGTTTGGACCTGCACTGTGTGATCCAGTATCCTTCTAGATTATAGTCATCTTTGTCATGGCTAACGTGACCAGAAAAGCTGATCTGATGATATTAATCTGTGTTATTCTAGTCTTGATGACCACTCAAAGATCTTGACAGTGCAGTTTTACGTGTGCAGTACTACTCAATGAGATATGAGTCTTAGGTCCACCAGCACCCTGGCACTGACACATGTAAATGTAATGCAGTCAGTGTTTGTATTATTTAGCTTGTGTCTAAATATTTTTTTGGAAAGTTGAATAGAGGTACAGAAAACACAATACAGTTCTTTGGATTCAGTGAGTTGTTAGATACTTCCAGGTGCAAATCTTTCTACAGTTTCACATTTTCTGTCAAGGTAAATAAATATATGTCGTACATTGAAGTATTTTATTACTACATAGTGCTATGAGAAATTTAGAGTCCATCACTATGATAAATAAATAAATGGTCTGTGTTTATTTAGCGCTTTTCTAATCTGGATGACCACTCAAAGCACTTAACAGCAGTTTTGCCTTTCATCCATTCACACACACATTCATACAGTGCTGCACTTTATCAGTCGCACACTGTCATCAGAGGCAAATTCAGGTTCAGTATCTTATCTTGTACACACACACTTCAGCATGCAGCTACTCGGAGGCTCCATCAGACCCAGAGCTATTTTTAAAGCGTTAATATACTTTAATTGGACAGTGTTTATGATGTACCTGAGGTTCATAATAATGGGACAGCTCCACTTAATTGATTATTAAATCATACTGAATAGGCACATTGACAGTCTTACACAGAGTGATGTTTGAAGGTGGGTAGAAGCTGAAGTGACTCAGATTCACTAAGTGTCTCTCCTCTGGCTCTTTTCCAGACAACCGGCCTGGTCGGCCTCGCAGTGTCCCACAATCCACATGAGGTGAGCATCCCCTGCCCCCCCTCTGCTTGTCTTTGTGTAGTGCCGATCTGGTCACACCTCAAAGTTGTTAACAAATTATTATAAACAAGATATTGTGCATCATCGGTGTCCAGCTGTCAATGGTTCACAGCCTGGCAGATACCGTGTTTTCTTCAACCAACTAACCCAACACTGCTTTTCCTCTCAGCGTCTGAGGATGCTCTACTCAAAGATCCTGGCATCACTGCAGACAATGCCGCAGGATGCCTCCTACAGGAAGTACACAGAGCAGCTGGTCAACGAGCGGTACGGCCACGTGAAAACGGTGAGTGGTGTGCCGTGTGTGCAAGAGAATGGATGATGTAAACGTTTGTAACTAGTGAAAATGGAGAAGTTTCAATATGATGAAACCGTCTGTCTTCACAGGAGCCTGATGTTGAAAAGCTGGAGAAGAAAATAAACTGTGGTCAGATAGAAGAAGTCATTTTCCAGGTAGGTCACTTTTAATGTTAATAGCCTGTGGTAAAAACGTTTTATTTTTTTGTTGCTTAGGCGACACTTTGTTGTTCTACATGGCATGGATGCTGGTATGGAAACTGTATTAAGGCAAAGTTGTAGGAGAGTGAACATGGTGATACTGAGTAGGAGCTCATATCTGAGAGAGGGGCTACTTCTGCTTCATGGACGTCGCTTGAAAACATCTGACGTTGAACAGAAAACCGTAACGATGTGTGTCATTATCTGGATATAAAATTACCTCTATATCACACAGCAGCGCTAGAAGAACTTGAAAGTTGGGAAAAAGATTGGGATAGTATTTAGTGTAGTATTTCTAGAAGTAGTTGAAGAAGCACTAAGATGAAAAGTATAAGGGCTTGCTTATTGCTTATTCTCGTACTATATCTGACTTACAGTTCATTGAATTTGTATTGTTTGTGTTCGGGGACCATTTTATAGCCTCTTTTAGTTTGATCTCTGATACAGGAACACAAAGAGAGAGAAAAATTACCTTCTAAGTCAGACAGCTGGTGAGACCGTAGTTGCATTAGTTAAATTGTGCGACATGGCACATTTCAAAGTCACACCACGGGTAAATGGAGTAAAGGGCTTTGCTTTCAAGTCAGAAGATCACAACGGCCTCATGGCTGAGACTGCAGCAGCAGCAGCACAAAGTTGAGTACACTCTTCCTTTCTGTGCCGCTGTTGCAGGATGTGAACGTGCAGAGGGAGAGTGGTGGTGAACACGCGAGAGAGCAGACTCTCTTCTCCTCACGCGTGGGCCTTTTCTGTGCAATTTGAGCACAGACTGCAGCATTGTAGTGTTCACGAGGGGGCTCTGATCACCGGCCACCAGTTGATCAGTGTTAGTCACTGAGTTTATTCTTTTTAATAAGTAATTGTGAAAACCTCACTTTGCTGATAACACAGTGCATCCAGCTGTCATTCTATATGAGTTACTCCCTCAGACTCGGATGTGTTTTTAATAGAAATTGTGTATCAAGTGTTGATTATAAAAATCATAAAAAGTACTGCCCAAACCAAATGTGGTAGCTAAATCTATAAGCTGGAACTGTGTGTATATATGTTTATATACACGTGTGTGCATACCATTGTCATGAAGTTGTCAGGGGGCTAGTGACGGAGCTACAGAGACGTAATACACTAAAAGACACACATCAGTTGGTATTTGGTTTATTTTGAATTTGAACAGAGCAACTCTATTGTGAGTGTCTCACTCTAAACAACAAAGAACTGTCCCCAAATATTGCTATTTCCTGCACCATGAGTCATGACGTGTTATTGACTGCTGTGTTTTGTTGTGGATCTGCAGGCGGAGTGTGAGTTGACTCTTTCCAGGAAGATGTCAGAGTGGAAACCATGGGAGCCGCTGACAGAGGAGCCTCCTACCAACCAATGGAAATGGCCCATCTGAAGACACCTATGTAAAGTGTATATTATTGTCTGTCTGAGCGTGTGTGCGAGTGTGATCCATTCTAACAAAGGTATGTACAAATAAAAGTCCTGCAAATATTTCCCCATTTATTCTCCAGAGTCATTGATTCATAAACACACTTAATCAAGACAATTACATTTTTACACATTTGTGGAAATAGTTGAAGAATAAAACATGACCTGGTGACACTGTTAACAGATATCAAATCATCTGGTTAACTTAAACCTTCATCGCTCAATAATTAACATAACTGGAACTATGGTATGTTACATTGAGTTTACTAGATTCAGCTCTGGAAACAAGTGACGGAAATAATTTATTGTCTGTCTGTCACAATAATGTGTCCCAACACAACAAAGTCCCTTAATTTAGTCAATAGTAAAAAATGAGTTTAAGCTGCTACAGCCCAGAGGAGGCGTCATGTAGTGTTCACAGAGCCACACGTCCTTCATACACACCCTGTGATGTCATCAGACAGGCAGAGGCACACGACTCAGCTACGTCTTCAGGCTCTGACCTCCTGTGGACCGCTGGTGGCTCTCTGCAGCAGCTGCAGCATGATGGGATAGATGGGGGCAAACTCCTTCCCCTGCCGAGCCCTCACTGACTGCACGTAGGCCTCCAGCGCGCCCCTTACAGGAGAACAGAGAGGACACAATATTGCGTTAGCAGCTTGAAGCCTTGTTTTGTCTACAAGCTGCCTCCAGGCACATCACTGAGTGTAGAGCAGCCATGTTTCCGCAGCAGCCAGAGCCCAACACACGCATCACTGCAGTGACTGAGTGTTGAACCCAGAGCACCAGTAGTGACGGAGACCAGTGTTCTGTCCAGTGCTATTCCTCTGACAGACAGGTGGCAGCACTGGCTCACTGTATGTTGCGGTAAGCCAGGAAAGACAGTGAAGAAGACTTTACTATTTACCTAGTAAATATGATGGCTTACCATTCAAGTTTCTTAATATTCCAAAATGAATTGAATGATCATGTGTGTTATAGTCAGCCCTGATACTGATGGTGCCCAATTGTTCCCGGTCTCTCTCTCTCCACCTCATCTCTCTCTTCTCTCTCCTTTCCTCCCCCCTTACTTGTCTTTCCTCACCCCAACCGGTCGAGGCAGATGACCGCCCACATTGAGCCTGGTTCTGCCAGAGGTTTCTCCCTGTTAATGAGGGAGTTTTTCCTCTCCACAGTCGCCTGTGCTTGCTCATTGTGGGAACTGTTGGGTTTCACTAAGTTAATATTGTTTTAAGGTCTTGACCTTTAAATGTAAAGTGCCTCGAGATAATGTAAATTATGAATTGGCGCTATATAAATAAAATTGAATTGCAAAGTTTGTTAGATGAATGTCTACAGGCATCTTTAGTGTGCCAGCACTAGAAACTGTCAAAGGAATCTACTGCTAAGTGTTCCTGCTCTCTGTTCTCTCCCCCTCCCCCTTTCCCCAAGCTCTCAATCAAATTGAATTGAATAGGCAAACACAAACAGGATGACAGGTTACCTGATGAGGGTGAGCCGGTCTCTCTCTGAAGGATGATCATCCAGCCACTGGGAGTAACGGGCGACGGACCACTCTGCTCTCTGTGGGGGAGAGAGCCGTTTTAGTCTTAAGACGAACCATTGGGCAAAATCCTAACTTACTGTGTGTGTGTGTGTGTGTGTGTGCGTGCACACACCTGGTGAGGTGACTTGAGCTCAGATGGGGCTCTGGTGAAGAAGAAGTGTATCAGGGTGCTGTAGGGGATCAGGTCACCCACGGCTGGACTGCTGGCTATCAGCTCGCTGGTCTGAAACAACAGCGGCCTGCAACGCAAACACACACTGTACTAACACACAGTGTACTGGACACACAATGGCTTCATGGTTCAGCCTATTAACAACAACTCATTGATGTTTGCATTAGTTCTCATCTACATTGGATTTGGACATGGTACTCTAACTAAACTGAAACACATCAGCGGGGATGTAGCCTGTGATGTACAGCAGGAAATCAAGTCAAGTCAAAGAGTGATAGTGCAAATGTGTAAGATACTGGACTAAAACCTAGAAAACTACAGTATTTGTTCTTTAAAAGTACTAATATTAGCATTTAAGTGTATTTAAGTGTTATCTGACCCTTTAACCAGATTATGTAGTAAATCTTATTTCAACTTGACTACAGAGTTGTTGATGTTGAACACAACTCAACCTGGTCTTTACAGTAAAATCAAAGAGGATTGTGATGCATGTGGATGTTACACACCTGAAGGAGCGCAGCATTCTGTAAGGTTTCCCCAAGTCGGACACTCTCCTGCACAGAGGAGCTACTGCCAACTCCATCTGACACACACACACACACACGAAAACAACTTCAGTCTGGTGAAGCCATGACCTCGTCACTGCTGAATCACAGAAGCTGCTTTTAAGACATGCACTGAACTGCAGATAAACCCCTTGTATTCTCCCGAGGGACTGCACGTGAGAGGTTTCTGACTTTCTCTGGAGATTCTCTTGCCAGCCCCCACATAAAAGCTCCACAAATTTCTGAATGAGCTCGTGTGAGAACACAGCAGGAGATCCTCGGCAGGATTCACCCACGAGTGGGCCTGTTGATGAGGTGAGCTGTTCACGAACACGCAATTGACACCTCAGAATGAAAAGTGATGCCATACCCGTAGAAGACATCGAAGAGAGGAGGATGTCACAAGCTTTTTTTGTGCGAAAGAGAAACTCCAGAGAAAGTCTGGACCCAACTGAGCGGACATCGACTGGAGATCCACTCTACAGCCTGGAGAGGAGCAGTCTGACAACATTCACCTCACCTGAGCAAAGTCAGCGGCCAGTCGCATCTTGCCGCCCTCTCCCAGTGGGCGCAGCAGGCTGGCGTGGCGGAGGAACAGCTCAATGGCTCTCTGAGCAATGGACTCGGTGCTGTCGTAGATGAAATCCGCGCACTGGATGTGTCTGAAGTAGTCTGACATCACTCTGGAGATGAAGCCCTGCAGCTCCTTCATGTAGAGGGAGCAGGGAACGTCAGGCTTATCGGGGCTGGATAGAGGCCTGCAAAACAAAAAAACAAAACATGCAAACAGAGATGACGGTAAATCATTTGCAATGAAACACATGTATTGTTGTTTGGGTAATAAAACCAAAATAACAGGAGGGGGTTTTAACTGACATGAGTATGGACACCTGACTATTGTTTAAGTTCTTTTTGTGAATCGTATTCTTTAAATTAATGTTTGAACAGAAGAAGTTGACTGATCCCTAAACAACATGAGGCCAATTAGTAACTGTGCCTCCTTTCTTCTTTATTTATCACCAGATAAATATATTTTAATATTCTAAACACTACTATTATTATTTATGTTTAGAGAAGACTGGTAATTTACTTCAGTAACAGCTAAATTATGTTGTTACATTTTGTTGGCTTTAATTTAGTTTCTACACATGTCCTGTGTATTTTGAAAGGATTAGCTTTTTTTTTCCCCATAATTAATCCCTCGACTAATATTCCCTGAGCCAGCACGGAGTTGTGTCCCCAGTGCAGAGGGATTCAAGCAGTGGAATAAAAAATAAAATAAAACTAAAGAAAAAAACAAATGTACATTTTTAAGTCCCCAGATGCAACTGCAGAACCTTGGGGTGCTTTTTGTTTTAAACCTGGCTCTTCCAGGCTCCCGACATCACTTCTGGGAACCTGCAAAAGTTCCTGCGGTGAAGACGGGCAACATTTGACCTACCCTGAAAAGTCCTCCTGGTGTAGCGTGATGATAATGGCCTCTATGGAGTCGCTCACTGACTGCAGGAGAGGCTGCACTGCACTGCTCATCAGGGCCTGCACTCCCTGAATCACACGGAAAAGATTGCGGAGGGAGGTTCAGGACAAACAAGAGCAGGTGGAAGCAGCAAACCCTGACTACAGCTGCTGTGAATAAAATCACATTAACTGCTGCTCATTACCCGCAACTTAGGAGCACCCTGTTGCCATAGCGACACCTATGAAGTCAGGTGAGCAGTAGGTACATATATATGAGGTCTGACTGTTTGTGTTTCCGGCGATGAGAGCGTCACGAAGAGGCGTCCTCTCTCGGCTCCATCTCCACAAACTGAGATTTAAGATCTGATCAACTAGAGAGTGTGAGTTTAACGTGTAAAAATAATGTGTGCAGAGGTACTTGATGATTGACGTCGATTAATGTGCAAAATGTGTGAAGCAAAGACATCTTGTGAACACGTCGGTCTTGAATGACAGTGAAGCCAAAACATTTTATGGTACATATGGTTTCTGTCATTTTAGGCAGGTGGCTTCCTTGTTGTTCACCCGTTGGCTGTTCTGTTTCTGTTCTCTGCATTGGATTATTATATCATAGTGTGTCATTAAGTGTCTCTGAGTTCCTTGAACAGCACTATCCAAATAAAACTTACTATTACTATTACCATAAAGTTCTAAACAATATCCTGCCCACACCTTTATGAATTGGCAGGAAGCTCCATTAAAATAATAAGTCTTAGAGGTAGAAGACACACCACGTACACACATATATGTGTATATGTATGTGTATGTAGCTTTGCTTCAAAGAAAGACTGAAGAATGTCGATGAAAATATATATAACGATGGACTTCTGCTGAGATACCTCCAGAGAAGAAGACAGGGCCTCTGCAGCAGCCGCTGGACAACCCCCCAAACCTGAAACAATCTGCAAATACAAAACACAGATTAACAAATATAACATTAACAAATCAATAAACTTTATTTGTATAGCACCTTTAAACACAAAATCATTTTCTATGCACTCTAAAGTTAGAGTAACAAAAGGCTGCCTCTCCATGGTTCCAGTCTGAACTACTGGTTTATTTCCATAAGCTGAGGCACTAGAGAAGAAGTGACAGTCACTTACGTATAAAGGCACTGTCTCTCTTTGTTCTATGGTTTAGTGCCGCACTAATAAGGCCCGCCTCTAGATTCAGTGTTTATTCTGGGGCTACAGCAGAAATATGTTGAATAGGGCCTCCTCCTGATGTTAATATATGGACTCATTCTAAGGTAATACAATCCCATCGTCCTCCTAGTTCTCTTATACCCTGGTAAAAACTTGATCATGAATATGACAATCATTTTCAGCAGATATAAAACCAAAATCAGCAACATCAATACGTATCATTTCTGTTTGGCCCTCGTTTCATTTTAAATAGCTGTCATGCATCTAAATTGTCATACTTGGACTGAAGTCATCAGCCACTGGAGACTGGGCAATTTGTTGATGAACAATTTAGCTGAGTGCGAGCATGGGTAATGAAAAAGAGATGGGCCAAATATATAAGCATGTGGAACACCAAACACCCAGAAAGAGGACCTTGTGTGAAACATCAACTCAACATTACATCATAAAACAAGAGGGCACTGAAGAAGCTCCTGAACTATTAGAATACTGCTTTCTTCACCATCTTGCTAATGATGGGTAGATTTGAACTGGTCAAAAATCTGATTCAAGTGTCTGTGTTTTGCCATCTACCCTCCCCAACCTGTCTCTGTCCCTTTGTCTCTCCCTTCACCCACATGGAATCGATTCTCACTCGGCTCTCAAAGTAAAATTTGAAAGACTCTCGAGGCCATTTAATGCAGAGGGAATCCGATTACGATGCTATGAATCTTCCCCCACTTGAATTTCCTTCCCTCCATGTGTGCTATATGACATCTCTGTGCATAATACATGGGTGGAGAAATAAAGGTAAAAGGAAAAAGGAGAAGGGAAAGAGAAGTACAAGAAACAAAGAAAGAGGTAAAAATCACAAAGTCAACATCTGCAGGTTTATTCATCAGAGAAACGAGGGGTATTTATTCCAACCTTGGAGACAGCCAGCTGCAGGCGGTAGAGAGTGTTGACCACAGCTACGTTCCTCCTCTGGCCGTCTGTTAATGGACCAATCACCTGACTGGCATCACCCTGAGTACTTAGCTGCGGACAGAGAGAGGTGTATAATGGACTGGTTGATTGAAGAGACACACGGATAGGTGGTGTGTGGTTCATATACAACAAATGGTATTTGAACAGATATGATGGAAAGTCCGAATTTTCGGATTGCACACGGGATTCTGTACACACCAGCTGTTCAGACTTGACGCAGAAGAGTTGGACGGTCTTGGCAGCATTCTTGGCCACAGCCAGGGAGAGATCTGGATCTACCAACGCCACATTCAGCTCACTGCAAACAAACACACATTCCATTTCAATAATGTAACTTGGCTAAATACCAAATACAAGCGATACAAAGGTAAACTGTGCTTGTCTACATAATTTGCTTTAAAGGTACAGTGTGTAGAATTTTGTGATATCTAGTGTTGAAATTGCATGTTGCAGCTGAACACCCCTCACTGGACTAATGCAAAAAACATGGTGGCCTCGATAGAGAGGGTCCCCTCCATGTTATTATAAAGTATTTAAATATAAAGGGCCTTTTCTGGGGTATAGAAAACTACAATTCATACAATTTAGATGAAATGAACTAATGAAAACATCATGAGGATTATTCTACATTAAATTTCTGCCAATAGTTCCCTTTCACCTAAATCTTACACACTGGACCTTTAAATTAATACTGGATGACCTAATCTGTAACAACGAACATATGAAAGACTTAAGAAGGAATATGGAAAGACAGATCCAAATTTAGAATATAAAATCATATTTTTAAATAAAAATGGAAATGCTTCACACTTTTAGTATAGTATATAATAGTATATAAGTGAATAAGAACAGTATACTAGGCCAGAGGTGGGCTGAACATTTAAATCCATTTTTTATGACTAAAGGCCTCTTCATATATACTTGTTGGTCAGCATGTTTAACCCTCTTCAAGCCAAACTGCCTGCATCAAACAATTTAATCATGTGCAAGGAAGTGGGCGGGGTTAAGCAATGCAACTTTCCAGAAGTCTGTGCTCTTTTCCCCAGTTTTTCAGTTCCACCCATCAGGTTTTCTTTGTTTCCATGCACAATTACAAAGACTTAATAATTCATTTTTGTTATAACGTTGCACAAATAGTCCGAAAATGCTGTAGGCTGCTTATCCACTGGCCTTGTTCCAGAACGTTCAGGCTATACATGTTTCTTTGAACAATTGAACAACATTGTTTTATGAATATGTGAGCTACACATAATGTCTTGTAAGATCATTTAAAAGCCATTAAAGACTGTCGAGTGACAAGAAGAGACAGTGCTGCTGTAACTCAAATCGGCATGTGCTATACATGCCTGCTGATAGTCTTGATGATGCTGTCCAGCTCGTCACTGGAGGGCGGGTTGCGGCCTCCCATAGGGAACACGAGGTTGATGGGATCAAACAGGCGAGAGAGGGACTTGGAGAGGTAGGCTGCTTCATACGGCTGGAGAGAGTCCTTCAGAGCCTTCTCTGGGCTGCGCACACACACACGCGCAAAGAAATTGACACAAAATCCAAAGAGAGGCTGAATGTATGAACGTAAAGTGATTTGTTGATACGAATCAGTAACCTGGATATAAGAAAGTCTGGAAGCTCTCACTCAGACGTTTGTGTACACACATACAGCCCTGCTCGAGAAAGTCCTGAGAATCTCCAGAGTTCTCTGCACGCGAGCAGTTTAAGAGTTAAGTTTGGCGTTTTGACTGCTGGAGACATATTTTGAGAGACTGGATGGACGACGTTTGACGGTGAACTTAAAACATTTCTTCTGGAGTGATAAGCAAACAGCTGTTGATGCAAACATTAGCTCTGCAATAGCAGACCTTTCAAATAGACAAAGACAAGGGGAATTCCTTTGCTTTTGATGAATCCTGAGGAGACTTGGATTTAAGATAAAAAGACGAACATGAGACAAGATGGTAGTTACATCTATATGTATTAAATAGCTCCGCAAATAGAAACCCACATTTTTTAAGTGGGCAACAGCCTAGATATTGCCTTTTACAAAATGTACAAGTGCATTAAATGTTTTTTACCACAAAAAAATAAAATGGATAACTGGACAGATTATGATCCAATCACCCAAACCCCCAGGGGTCACACATTGTGATCCCATTAAAGACAATTGTAAATGCAGTTGCCACATGCAACAACTATGTGATCACATGTGACTGTTCCAAACCAGGTAGCCTAGCAGTCCATTCCACAGTCCTATTATTGCTATTCAAGACGCCTGTGGACGGAGTGAACACAAGAGAAAAGATTTCTGTGAGTGGGTTCACCTGTAGTCCTGTTTGCCATGTGTGAAGAGGTCCTGGCTGTCTGTATCTGCGGACATCATTTCAAGTGACGCGTCCAGTCCTCCGCTGCTCGTCAGAGCTCCCTGCAGGCTGGCGCTGTACTGCTGCAGGCGGCGCCACAGCTCGTTGTACAGCCGCAACAGTTTGGGGTATTCACCTTCAAATGCTTGCTTCAGAAAGGACGAGCCTAGGGAGAGAGAAATGAAGACAGGGGCATTTTATTACATGTGAAGCAGAACCGCCAGAACGCTTCCTTAGAGTAGCCTCAGGAGAAGGGCCTCGAACTGTCAAAAGTCCTCTACAGAGACAGAACAAGCTAAAGGCCAACCATCTCAGCAACACTCCATCAATCAAGCTGTTATGGTGCCAGGGATAGATGGAAGACTTTGATTAAGCCTGGCAGCCTGCGTTTGCTCAACCGCATTTCAGAATTAGAAATTCTTTATCGGTCCCTGCAGGTAGGCCTGGGACGATAACAAATTTTGCCGGACGATAAATTGTCACACGAATTATCGCCGATAAACGATATTATTGTCAACATGATAATATATCATAATGATGCACACCCTTTCAAAGACAATAAACTTTTATTTCTCAGTGTTTTTTACCTTTAGGGATGCAGCGAACTTCACTTTCTGTGAGCTAACACCATTTTTGCTCCATTTATATTTACTTTGTCGACCRAACGCCTCAGTGAGTGTTGACTGTCGGGAAGGATCTGCATCTCGAGGTGCACATGTTTCCCCAGCTGGGAACACTGGGTCGGGTGGTTGTGCTTTATGTGGGCATGCAACTTTGTTGTGTTGCCTTTTTTGCGTTGCCACCACTTTTGAACTGGCTCCCACGCCGGGGCTGTGGCGTTTGACTCCGCAATCATCGTTTCTCCTCGCGTTGCTCCGCAATCATCGTTTCTCCTCGCGTTGCTCCGCACGACGCTCACTCGCTGCACTCTGTGCGTGTAGCATGTGTGGCTAATGCTAGCGGCCCCGCCCCGCCTCCCCCCACAGAGACTGGATGACTGACAAGAGGGTTCACTCCGTTCATTCCGCAACCAACGCCCCCAGGTGCTGAGACCGAGCACAGCGTGAACCCTCTTGTCATCCGGCCTGCTTGGAGGCGAGAGAGGAGGAAAACAAACGCGCGTGCACATGGCGATATATCGAGGCCGGCAAAATGATCGAGTTCATTTTAATTTATCATGCGATTAATTGATTTATTGATTATCGGCCCTTGGCCTACCTGCAGGGAGATTGTTTATTACAACGGAAAGGGCAATTTTATCAATTAAACACAACAAAGTGAAAGAATTGCAACTATCATGTCGACTTGCTCCAACATAAATAATGCTGAAACATGCAACATGTATTTGTTTTTTAAAAGCTTATCAGTGTTCTAAATCAGTGGATTCCAACATACATCTTGAAAAAACAGCTCCTCAACATATTTGAGGAGTATTTCAGTCCACCTTTAATGCTTTTGTCATTTCACCAGCTGTAACAAAGAGTGAAAGGACAAATGGGGAAACGCAGGAGAATCAGTTCGCATAGAGTCGTACAATATATAAACATATGTTACCGACACGCTCTCAGCACAAAGGAAGTGTGATCAGAAGCTTAGTATGTTAACAAGCAGCCAAATGTGCCTTTCCTGTTCTCACTTTGTTCTTCCCTGCAATCTGACAACTCTCTATTGAGATGCCTCCACGTAATGGCGTGTGTGTGAGAGAGAGAAAAAGAGAGAGAGAGGAAGAGTGAGGGAGAGATTTAAAAAAAAACATTATCGTTAGCATAATGAAGTCTTTTCTTTCAGTCCAGCCATCACAAAGACGCTTATACACCCACTGCTCGTTTTGTATTTACTTGTTTTTTTAAGGGGGAATGGCATTTCATTTGTTTCTGATTAACAAGCGACAGAGATGGAGAACAAGAGACAGATAATTAGTGAGGTGAAACTACAATCAGTTCAGAATTGTTCAATTCCTGAGAGGCACTTAGCATCAAACACAGTTTCCTGTGTGATGCAATCACCGACTTCACTTTGGGATTTGCTTTACATTGGTTCTGAGGAAAGCAAAAAGGAAAACATGTTGTAATGCATGTAAGCATTTTAACCAAACTGTCCACAGCAGGCAAGTGGACTAATTCTGAGGTGTACAAACCAAGAATATGTCTCAAAAATCTTCAGCACTTCCTGTTATTAAAATAAAGTGTCAAATGGCTGTGGCTGAGGGGGGGTAGAGCGTTGTCCTCCAACCAGAATGTCAGCGGCTCGAATCCCAGCTCATGCTGACGTGTCCTTGGGAAAGATCCTGACACTGTGACGAACAATGAATGATAATCTTCCTCCCTGAGATGATTCAGTTTCATTTCTCGCAGCTCACCCGAACAAACTGAAACCTACAACAGCCTCAGTGCACAGCTTCTAATATTCATATACATATATACATTTTCTAATGATAAATCCGCTTTACATTATAAACCACAGACAGACCTTCAACATCTTTGCTGGAAGCTGAGGCACCTCGACCTCGTCTTCATCAAACGTGTAGCGAAATCAGCATAACAGCTCAGTTGCAGTGCTGCTGATTCAGCTCCACAGTTACACGTCTAATGTGAGCTGTAATGCAGACAGCTGTTGCTGTAAACAACTGTATTGATAAATCTAGAGCACACTGAGAGCGACTGGAACACACGCTGTTCACTGTGAGCAGCTCCACTGCGTTTCTCTGCACCACGGCTCTGTCGTACATGTCTTGGCCACAGGTTCAATGTGGATTCTCATTAATCCAGTTGCACAATACATCTGCAGTAAAAGCGGGTTCCCGTGGAGCTTTTAGGTTCTTGTGGCGCTACCTGCAGAGCGATGACACAGTTACATAACTAGATAAGAAGTAATGTGCCGATATAGCCAGACAAAAAAAGACTGCGAGCTCGTACGCACGGATGTAAACCGTACTGCATTCAAATATGTTTAGGTGAGTAACACAAAGTACATTTTACACTCATTTGTTTATAAGGAAACTCACTTTTTCAGATTAACGCCACTGTTTACTTCTGTATATGACCTTTAAAACTACTACTACTATTATTATCAATACACAACGATAATTGTGTGTTGATGCATGGAATGTAGCACAGCCCAACAGTGTCTTACTATGAAGCTGCTGAGTGCTCCGTCCGCTGCATGAACAACAGGCTCATTACTCGCAGCCTGATTGATTTCCTGCTGTTAACTGAGCTCTTGTTACAGCCTGATGATTATGGCTCACTAAATGAAGCCTCTCACTAGTTGTTTGTGCTGCTGGTGGTGCAATATCAATCCACCGTCTGTCTGAAAGAAACCTTAAAGACGCACGCCCTGTGAGAGTAATTCATCTTTGCTTTGAATTAAAAGCCGTGACACTTAAACACTCAGCTTCCTTCGGGGGAGATCCGATCTTACCTTCAGTTGCTCTGTGAAACTCCTCACTCAGTGTGTTGGTTACATCTGTCCAGAAGGTGTAGAGGATATCAGGCTGACCCTCCTGTCAGGCACACAGAAAAGAAACACAGTAGCATGAGTTACAGTGATGGTAGATGTGTTCTCACTCTAATCTCCATTGCCTTACTGTTGCTGTCTGGATTCCAAATTAAAATCACATTTAAAATTGTGCTGAAGATGGCACTATGACCTAAAATAAATATTAATTAAACATGTATTAATTTATATAATCTAATAAATTGATCATTTGTAGATCTTAATGGTTTCTGTCTGGGTGTTGGTTTTTTCCCCATTGAGATAAGATGTTTAGGACTCTATCGGCTGTGTTACTACTGTTAGGTAGTTCACTATCTATCATATTGTATCCCCACATCAATACTGCAGCAGTCAGTGCCGATATCCATCAAGCACCTTCTGCTTGAATGAATACCATAAAACATGTTCAGTGTGGAGGGAAGGGACCAACAGGTGTTGTCATGGACACAAACACCTTGATTCAACACACTGACCCCTGATTGAGGAAAGTGCTTTAATTATTCAGTGTGTGTGTGCGTGTGTGCGTGCGTGTGTGTGCGCGTGTGCTTCTCAGACGACAGAAAAGCCATTGCATCCTCACTGCTCTGTCTCGGTGGACCCCCCCCCCAAGTATTCAGCTCTAAGTACAGGTGTGAACGAACCCATGACACATTGAGGACCCATCAATAAGACCACATTCGGAGGCGGTCTGGGATACAAAGGGTCACATTCTTTGAGCTGTGTGAATGTGAATGTGTCCAAGTCAAATTGAAGGACCGCTTACTGACATCTGATCCTGAGCCACTTTATAATGAACCAAAAGTATTGTTGCACTTCTCGGAGTTTCACATTTATTTGTGTCCACTGCCACAATATCAACATTGACTACCACATATTGATTGTCTATTGTACTTTACTTTTTTATTTTAAATCACAGTAGAGCTGAGCATGGCACGATGATATGCTCAGGCCGTCTCACACGCACACACGCGTGCAACGGACACATCTGAATAGTCAGACAAGTTAAAAACATAATTTGGACTTGGTGAACAGAGATAATGTCTGTGTGCATTTGGATAAAGAGTGGGTAAGTGAGATGTGATCACAAGCAGTACTGGAGACATGTGTGGAGACACAGTCTAATGCCAGGTGTAAACCAGAAATGCATGTTAAAACCAGTTCTACACAGTTGTCTTTTCCTGGCTTGATCCTTGATTCCTTCAGTTCCAATGAAGTAAAGCAAAATATTCTCCTCAGTTTGCTACAGTCGAACTAGACAAGCCCGAACAGAGCCCTGACCCAAACACAATCCAACACCTTGGGTTGAACTGGAACACCGATTGTTAGCCAGATCTCATCACCCAGCAGCACTGCTGGACCTTTAAATGTCTGAAATGGAGCAAATCCCTGGTTGTAACCTCTGATGGGAAGTGTAAAACCAGAGCAGTGCAGGCTGTTGAAGCAGCGGATAACCCCCCCCCCTAGAAAGATTGTTCAACAACTATGATTCTCCTGTGTCCACATACTGTACTTCAGTCATTAGAATGTAGGCTCAGTGCAAAAGAGACAATCTGAACAATGTATTCTATTATTAAAGAAGAGCTTGTCTTAAAAAAAGGGCTACGTGGTTTTAGCATAACTGTAGTAGCAAATACTTTTATATCAGAATATTGTGATTTATAAATTCTACATGATGATGGAGCCCACAAACAAGATCTCAAGCAGCATTCGCTTGCTAATTGGGTGTTTTCGGTCACAACGTAACCTTAGCTGATTTGTCAGGCTCCTATCATATGACCCCCTTCCAGAAGAAAACAACCGTTATTAACCTCAGCTGCCAGGGTTAGAACGCAACATGAATAATCAATTACAAGTGTTGTACAACAGCAGTTGTGCAGTTAAATTCCACATTTTACAATGATACAACTGCTTGCATGCATGACAGATTAGATATGTTTTCGATCTGTGACAATTCGTGACGTGTACACTGACAACAGTTTTTTAAAGTAGTAGTATAGATACGTAGTAGTGTGGATGTAGCCTTAGACCTAGTAATAAATCAAAGATGTAAGCAGGAGCCCGATCACACAAAGGTCTATTATCCAGTAACATCAGGAAATCATCGGTAAAACTGACAGGGAACCACAGCCTGGCAGCAGAGATTGCAGTCTTACAGGCATATCTCTTGAAGGGTGTTAATAACCAAGCAGCCATGTTGAGCATTCACAGTGTGGTAGGGGATATTACTTCTGAGAGCTGAATGAAAGGAGTTACAATTATCAAGAACTTAAGAGTGAACGCTCTTCTTTAAGTCTGTTCATCATGCTTGTAAAAGCAAAAAAAAAGGAAAAAGAACATAAAAATGCTGTGAGGATGTGAAATGTCCAAAATGAAGATTAATGCATTTATGCTCCACTACACTTGTACATTATTATATACAATATTATCATCCTCATGAGTTACGGCTCATTTATCAGATGAGCGTCTCTCTGTAGCTGCTTTTCCTCTGTAACAGAAGCACGTAGATCTGATATAATCTGCAGCATTAACAGATGTGGCTACAGGCGGCGTGACCGAGTCTGTTCACTCATTTCTCTATGGACACATGGCACAAGAGTGACAGTGCAGCTGCACTGCTGAGGAGCCTTGCATTTAGACATGTCATTAGGTCTCCAACTCACACCTCCATCACTGGGTAATTTGTGAGAGCTTTGTTTCCATAGTAACAGTCTCCCGCTCTGATTCGTACAACTCGGTTTCAGTTGAGGTAAGAGAGACACTGATGGTGGTCATGATGATGTGTTAATAACTGCCTTGATTATGACTGTCTTTCTTTATCTGTAGAGGACCGCCTGCCCACACACACAAAGCAGAACCTAACAATTAGTCATTTTATTTTAAAACTAATTTCACTATTCTTACATTTCACCACAAACGGATCCTTACAATCACTCTGCACCATGGAATTAAGAATTAAGAATTATATGAAATGACAAATTTAATGTAAAAAGATGGATCCACTGTCCTTCTGTGTAAAAGATATTGTCTCTTTCATTTTCATTCTCTGTGCTTGTAAAAACCTGTCGCCTAAGTTACCCACAACAACAGTTCTGTCAGAGATTCCTTTGAGATACCTCTTTCTGATTCCACACTCCCACATTTGTTTGCTCTTCAAAACTGTGGTCTTTGGTGTCAGAAAACTTTGTTTCCTTACAATAAATGAGGAAACGATGCATTCTGAAGTGGGGATTCAATCAAACTTCTTTCTGAAATGTTAAAATGTCTTTATATATCTTCTAATTACTAAAAAATAAGCTGATAACAATGAGAAGCTGAATAACCATCTATTTAAACCTAGCAAATACCTAATAATTAAATAAATAAATGATTCAGTCTTTTATAGTCTGCTGTAAGATTTATATGGAGGGGACTTGGAGGAGTCACTGTGTTTGTTTCTTGTGAGAAACAGTTTAACCAACATGGCTACACTGGCACCTTGACATTGTTATCCTGTCTGCAGATGTAATTGATATTACGAAACCAGGACAAGAGCAGTGGCATCCACCCACCTTGCTTATCTCGTCAATGAAGCACACATGAGTGACAGGGTCTCTCTTCTTCATCAGGACCTTCTGTAGATGCTGCACCTGTGAACATGCAGCAAAGGAAACTTCACACCTAATTCATCAGCCCCGTCGGCCGCCTGGCTTTTCTGTAGGAAACGTGTGATTCAACACTGCCATAAATTAGAGGCCTCAGGCTGCAGCGCACCTGTCGGCACGCAGCGCAAATCTGGTCCATCAGCTTCTCCAAGTTCGTCCATAGAGCCGCACGGAAAGCGGCCGTGTTCCCTGGTGTCGGCAGCACTGCTCTGCCTGGAGCTCCTACGGAAGAAATTCCTTCATTCACGTCTTTCATTCACTGTTCATTGTTGTTGTTACTAAGATCACTGTGAAACCAGTACCATCATCCCAGTGTTTCACGTTTGACCGTTGTTTGACTTTTTTTTTTTAGCTGATTTAAAAGAGCATTCGGGATTCTTTGAACATAACACAGGAAGAAAAGCTTTCCTGACAAGTCTATTTTAAGACAGAGAAAAAAAATGTTACCCTGCGGAGCAGCATAGCTGGAAGCTGTGTGAATGTGTGTGTAACCCAGTTCTACCTTGCATATTACCTTTTTCTTTTTTAAACATTTGTATGCATTATTATATTCACTTCCAGTGTATAGGTTGTGTTTTTTGTACTTTTTCCCAACTGGTTTCTCTATGTGGGTCAGTACAGTTTTTCCTGATTCTGATTCATAGTAATGAAGGACCATGTCCCCCAGTGCAACAGCTCGGTGCATTGATGTGTGCACGTGGGATTTTCTGACACAAAAAACTGAAGGTTTTTGGTTCTAAAAAAGACAGAGGAAAATTTTGCTAGGTGTATTTTTTATGAAGTGATAATTCCCAAAAATGGTTTTAAAATGCCAGCGGTGGAATCCTTATCCTAATGAGGGCTGTTATCTGAAAATACTTCATTAATTAGAAAAATGAAGTGGCTGCTTCATCACAGCCCTGAAAATAACACAAGCCCTCCAGCCAGAATTGACTATTCTCTGTGGCCATGGTGTAATAATCGATTTCGGATAAAGCCAACCGGTGAACTAGGGCAACTTACAAGATGCACAATGAGGACGATGTAACCAGTTTATGTGTGTGTATGAGAGAGAGAGAGAGAGAGCGAGTGTGTGTGTGTGCATGCGTGTTGTGGTTGTGCGTGCCTGTGCATGTTTTAACACTTTGACCATATCCTCCTCGGGTCTCACCTCTGGGGTTTGCCGGCTGTGTCAGGCCCTTGATGTCAAGAGCACTTGTGATGTTGTCCTGTATGCTGGTGCGGTAACCCCCCACCACACTACTGATGGTCTCTCTCAAACTTCCCAGGTTGTAGAAGACCTGCAGGGCCGTGCCGACCTGGGTTGGATTCTGATCGACAAAAACGAGACAAAGGGAATGGAAGTCGGCAGTTGTCTATGGAGCAAAATATTACAACAGAATGAAATCGACTTAACGCATCTGGTAGTTTCACACACTAAACACGCAAGGACAGAGGTGACAGCCGTAGCTAAAAATACACCTCGCATTGATTTAATGAGAGAGAACTGTGAATATGTGGCACGCAAAACTCAAAAAAAAAAGAAAAAAGGAGATGATAGGAGAGGAGAGGGGAGCAGAGGAGAGGAGAGTTTATCAACACTCTGGGAAAAGACATTTTCTGCTCAGCTCCTCCAATGTGAGGACTTTCTTTTTTCTTGTTTAACAGTGTCTCCTTAACTAAATATCTTTGGGGTTGGAATTGTTAGTCAGACAAAACATGCAAATGTCACCTTGGACTCTGGGATAATGTGATGGCATCTGAAACTTAGATAAACCAAACTATAGCTAAATCAACAATATGGCTGACATATTAATTGATCTATTTTCTGCAGCTCTATTGTCTCTCCACAAATTGAAAAGGGGTGAATAACAAGGCAGTCTTCATCGTCTCTTAAACAAGATGAAAGTGTCTCACTGCTGTATTTCATTCCTCAAAATGATTCTCTCACGATTCTGCACTTATTGTGGAAATATGCTCATTAGGTTTCCTTATCCAGAGCTCCGTGTTGGAGATTGTCTATAGAGGAGAAGGAGAAGGAGAAGGAGAGGATCCTCTACGTGGGTCAGTTGAGCTCCCACTCAACAGATGGGCTACAGGGTCTCTGCTGGCACAGTGAGAGCGTTGAGGTGAAACTCGCTCCCACTCAGTCCCGGCAGCACGTCCAACTGCTTACATAACATTCACAATAAACAACTTCCTGAGCTGATATAAGAAGCTGTTGCTGAATCTGCACTCGTGCATGCATGCGCGTGTGTGCCTTTGTGTCTCTAGAGCCCCATATGTCCACACACATAACACACAGTGATAGAAGTTGTTCGCCAAGGCTACTCCAGCAGTGGCCAGGATAAAAATAATTCTACTGAGGGTGGAGTACACACAGGAGACAGGAGCACGTATGTGTGTTGACTTTGGAGAGAAGTGTCACAGAATCCTGCTGCTTCACACGAGAACCTGCTTAGCTTCTCTTGGCACTCAAACTCACATTTTAGACAAGAAACTCACACTTCCTGCACGCATTTCACATTAAAAGCCCTCCGTTTAAAGGGGGCACAATCCCTCACTTTTGTAGTGATACAAAAACAAAGCTACAAAAAGATATAAATATTTCTGTTCAACAGATAAAAAGTGCTCTTTTTTTTCAAGAGAGCTGTCACATTTTCACACACAGAAAAATTCACAATAACCACATTATCACGAATATCTATAGAAAGTCTGAATAATCATAACAATGAGATTACCAGAGGTAAAAATCCCATTCACTTTCTGAATTTAGATTGTGATTAAAAGCCATAATATTGCGTAACCATACAAGATTGTGAAACAATGCTATAATGCTCCGCAGAAGTCACAAGTCCATATTATATCAACTGCATTTTAAGAAAAACATGTTTTATTCCATGTATGACGCCTCTGAATGGTGGAGCGTTACATGAGGTTTACCACAGAGCAACTGTGAATTCTCTTTCTAAAAATCGATATGTGTTGATACTGCGGTGGTTGCAACAAATAAATCAATGTATGTGAAACACTGAGAAGTGAATATATATTTAGTTTATTATGAAACTAAAACGGGCTAGAGGACGTCAGCTGAGTAGGCGACACCAGAGTGGGAACATTCTCTGTGTGCTTACTTTGTGCAAGCTGCAGTATGACTATAGATTTTGACAAAATAATCACTCAGCCCTAACAATGAACATTTGTATTTACTTCAAAGAGACCAATGAGAGGCTAGGCCTTTATCTGAAACAGGCTGATATTAGAGACAGAACTTTATTTCTAGTGATCATGAATATTCTCCTGTTTTGTGATTATCTCTATAAGATATAATATACTCAAGTCCTATCAAACCATTACAAACCGTGTGTGGCTCTGAAAGGGCCATTTCCAGAGTCTAAAAATTAGGGTGATCAGGATTATCTTGCATGAGGCTTGGAGCTTCGGATATTCAACAGAAAGGCTGTGAGATTGCACTTTGGGATTTGTAGGATCCAATATTTTTGAAGTTTCTCCCACATGCTTGTCAGGAGAGTCAACACCCCAAACCTCTACTGTTCTATTATGACCAATTTTTCTTTCTTTGTCTATCTTGAGTCCCCCCAAACAAAAAGCAATGCTATAAATCTCACTGCCAACACCTCCGCCTTTCTGATAACCTGTTTTCCAAATAAATGCGGAACAACCTCGCCTGCAGTCATTCCATTAGTAAAACAACAATTACATCATGTACATTACTCTGCTTGTATTTGTTTGGTGAGAGAAACAGTCTTCACAACCGCTCCGCTCCTCTCCACAACAGCATCTGTAAAATGTCTCCCATCTTACACTCGGCACAGAGCAGAGCCAAGCAAATGCCTTTGATGGCTTCAGATCCACACAGCAACGCCCATGGAGGAAATGCACTCACTCTCATCTGAGCACCGTGGTCTTACGATGAGCCGCATGCGCTCAGGAGCATTGTGAATTTATTTTTATCTTGGGACTGCAGGGAGCGATTGCACTTTTGACATAACAAACAAAAACCTGATCTTAAGTCTGTGGTGCAGTATTTCCACTATTTCACTTACAGGGTGCATTGTAAAACATAGTAAGAAGCAGCTATAAAGACAGGTGCACAACATCTCTGTTGTCACACACACAAACAGGTTCCTGTTTCCTATTCAGAAAAGGTCAGCAAGAAAATCAGCCCAGATTAATCCACCAGGAAAAACCTCACCTAGCTTTTAGAGGGAATGGGAGATGGAACTCTGATTGGTTTATTGCATGCTACACCAAAACACAACCCGGGATTAATTAAGAAACAAAGAGCAACCCTTTTCAACCACACCCCTAGCACACTTACCTTTAATAATGCCATAAAAATAACCAAAGTAGATTTTGGCTCATCATAAATGTACTTGCTCTATGCTTCTTCTACTGTTTCAAGTGGTCTCTCATAATGGATTATGATTATTCATTGCCATTTGCCATGTAACATGAATAAAACTTTAATATATTACTTCATAATTAATATGTGATTTGCATCTAGGTAGCATCAGGCAAATGTTAGTAGACAATGTTGAGAAAGACAACTCCCATGATCCCATGCGATTAAACTAGGTCTTTTGTTATTACTTTGATTGAGAGACCCCTAATAGCTGAAGTTACATATTGTACATTTAACAGCAGATTACAACAAGAGCACATCAGCAAAAAAGTGAGATGAATAAAGATGAATTCATTCAACACTGAAAAAAACCTCTTTGGTCCCTGCATACAACTGATTTAAAAGTCAGTTCCTGGACAATCCAATGAGACCAAAAGAGGACAGCTGTGTTAGTATTGTGTGTGCGCGTGTGTGTGTACCTGGATCTCCATGCCCTGCTCCAACAGTCTCTTAGCTTGGTTCTCCACCTCCAGTCTGGCTCTACTGATCAGCAGCAGGTCATTCTCAATCACCTCGATGCCGCTCAAATCCACACCCTGTGACAGGTAGTCTTGAGAGAAAACAAGGAAACACGGGTTAATATGTGCAAACACATACACAGACACGCACACAGAAAATATAGCATTGTTTTTTATTTTATTCCAAAAGCTCCATATGCCCATAGTGACACTGGCGACCTTGAGCAACCTTGAAAAGTAAGTACTAGTATTAGTACTTGTATTGTTGACAAATACAGTTTCACCGTAAAACCAGTCTTAAAAACCTTAATACAATTCACAGTAAATCCTCTCAGCATTCACATTCATAAAATATCACAATGCACAAGTCTAGACTACTACACACTACACCACAATTAACTACTACACAAGTAACTGCAGTAGGGTTTAGTTTAATGATACCTTTACAGCCCATAGGACAAAATACTTTTATTGCAATTCTATTAGCCATCAATGATGTACAGTATATTTCCTCCCAGAGGGTAGAAGTTCAAACTGTACAGTGGATGGATGAGAGCCATTTATAACTGTTTCAGCTTTGCTTCTCTGTTTATCATGCTGCCTTTGTGGCCTCCCAAAGATGAACTGTTTTCTGCTTAGTGTTGACTACCACATGATCATGTAAAAAGTTAGAATGCTTTCCGCAAGGCTCTCATATTGTTTCCAGGACAGGCAGCAGAACAGCCAGCGTCTTAAGAGACAAAGTGCTACTGTTGCTTCAACTCTTAATGTAATTTTCTAAAAGTGGTTAGTATAGTAAATGGATTCTTTATTTATATAGCACTTTCCTACTGTTAACGACCACTCAAAGCGCCTCACGCTACGAGTCACATGCACATAGACTGCTTCTATTTATAGGCACTTCTCTGTCACACTTCCCATTCTAACACTCACTTTAGAGGTTAGTGTCTTACCAAAGGACGCTTTGACATGCAGACTGAAGGAGCAGGGGCTAGAACCACGGACCTGCTACCTCCTGAGCTGCCCCACTGTATGGGAGCGTATTACATTTCTAGTGTTTCAAGTGTCCATTTATATACACAAGGAAACAGAATACTACAAACAATATACTGCAGTTGAATAAAAAGCCACCATGAAATCTCAGAAACGAGTTAACACTTCTCTGCACACACACTGCCGCGCCTGAGCGTTTAGACATTCACACTTCACTGTTATTGTGTCGGAGCTGTGCCGCATCACATTGGTTTTGCATTTGAATGCTAGAAATGTGAACACAACCATAATAACAAAAGGCAGCTTGTACCTTTGACATCAATTCATTTTTAAAATAAAAAGCAACCAGACACAGAATCAACAATATAACTGAATAATGTATTAATGAATAATAATGTTTGATAAAGGTTTAACAAATGAGAAGTGTGAACGGATAAAAAGCTTTGTTAGCCTAGCATCTAGAATTAAATGTCCTGAAAAAAGAAAGAAAATTGAAACGAAGTTGTTGATAGATTAAATGGCTAGGTGAAGGTGAACAGGAGAGATTACTATCCAAATAAATCAATCAATCAATTAATGATAGACTGTGGCAGCCTTGACAAGGTCCAGTTTGTCCCACGAGCTTTATAATGATCCAGAAAGTTTTATACACAAGTGTTTTGCCCCGTTGATCTATTGTAGAGCTGTGTGCAGCACTTTTTACCCTGCTGTCGTCTCTTTCTCTCTCACACACATTGAAACTCAGTCAGACTGAACATCAGCAACACTGGAAGAGATACAGCCCAGTCAGCGGGCTGTCAAAACATCCATAAAGTTGTATTGTCCTCGCAGACAGCCAGACTGAGATTTAAAATCACTGTCTATGTACCCGTTATTCGGTCTCTGTTGTGCGCTTGCCCTCATGCACAGTACTGATTTTTTGTTTCCAGGTTTTTCCACGGACACTAGGTGATGGATTCTCGAGATGACTGGCTGGTTATGTAATCACTCACAGAACAATGGCTCAGTCAATCTCAAACTTCACCAACACATCTTTGCGATCAAATTATCATATTTCTGTTATTACACTGGATAGAAAAGACGACAGTTGGACTCATCAGCTCGACAGATTTGTCGGCAGCACTTGTTTCAGAGAAGCACATAGCACTTCTGACTGTGTGTTGAACATTCCCATTCTGCTCTGTTCGTTGACACAGGCCTGGGCGTATATTAGAGGAAGATATAGTGCCTGACCTCGCAGCCTCATTTTGTTTTGATATGAAACTGAAATTTGAGCACCTGCAGCAAACACGTGAGCTCTACCGTGATGATTCTCACTGCAGTGACACTTAAACTGCTGCCAAAACATTTGAAACGAAGCTTTTAATCAAGTCCCCCGAGCACATGCACGGACAACGCTGAACATGGGGTATCTCGGAGGAGTTTGGAGGCAGTGACTCTTTGGTCCTGATCTGTATAGGAAGTCTATGCAGCAAGCAAAGAATAAAGTAGGAGCTGGTAGAGATGAGCATGCTCGAATGGGGAGACAGTGAAGTTGTGATGGGAGAAGACAGCACACAGCCGAATAATGGATGTGTTACTGAACAGCATGCTGGGGCACCCTTACAAGGAGATGATGAGGAGTACCCAATTAGAGAGAAGGAAAGCACATCAGTCTATGAATAAAATGTGTGTATAAAATGTATTTGTTCGTGTTAATTTCTACGACACTGATCATCACTGGTTCTAATTTTAGAATCATAATCGTTCAACCTGATACTGAGTAATGTCAGGTGACATCTTGTTAAGGGGCAAGTATAATTCTGTAGTAGATTGTAGCATTTGTCAAGATGATTACAAAAAATATGCAAATTTAAGAGTTAATATTCTTCTTCTGTAAACACTGAGATATGCACTGAACTCTGCAGATCCTCCGTAATGTCTTCAGAGGAAGGTGATTGTGTGAACTGCGGATTACCTGCTGACTTTACCCACAGGCCGTGTCTGAAAACGGCTCTTGAAAATCAATGTCATTGCAAATTGTAACAAATTCTAAACTTGGAACTGACAAAGCAGGAGTCTGATTTGAGGTCGGTTAAAAAAAGCAACAACCAAGATTAAAGGTTTTCCACAGGGAAATACTGCTATTTATATCCCACTGTCACATTACTTCCAGATAGCACTTAGCCATAAATTGTGTTTTATGTTGATTCTCTGTGAGAAGTGACCTACAGAGCCTAACAAAGCGTCAGTTTTGAGGTGCTACAGAGGCTACGTGTTTTACATTAGTAACGCTGAAATTACTAAAACACAACATGAAAACAAAGAAATAGTGTTTATAAGTAGTAAATGTGGATATGTAGTACACAAAATAGCCAAAACAGTTCACATTATATCCTGTTATGTGGCAAATATCTTAAAGTCTGCTGAAGTTCTGTCAGCCAGGACTGATGCTCTCAGGGCAAGAAGTCAGAGTGTTCATGTTGACATGTCTCCCCGTTGATGCCTTCCTACGCTTCCTAAATCGTCTGCCTGCTCTGTTGTCTTTCCTTTATTTTTACGGAGTAATTGTGCTGGGAATTGTGTACTTTCTTGCATTACCTGAAAATACTGTAATGTATCATACACATTCTTTCTTTGTTTCCATGGTAAGCATTGTCTCAACACATACTGGTAAGATGTATGTGGTTAAATGTCTTCAGTGGCAGCATAACTGTTCTGACCTGCCAAGTTGCTGAACTTGGTCACTTCAGTAAAATGCAAAGTCAGGAGAGAAATGGTTGGACCTGAGTCCCAGAGCAATAACATTCATACGTCAGTGTCAGGAGAGAACAGACAAAAACTGGGACTTTTGTCTCACAGGAAACATTGTACCACATGTTCATCTGAAGATTCGCAATGCTGGCTTTCTCAGCGTGGACATCCATCACTAGTCAGCCATTGTGAGCATGAATTCGTATTAAGGAAAAGCAAATTAAATACATGGGAAAGTGGGAACTGCAATGTATTTGTGTGAACAATAAAAAGAGAAATTGAAAGAGAAGTTTAAATGTCTTTTCTCCACATACAAGGCCAATCATTGCATGTGACTGTCAGGTTGTTGGTTTCTGAAAGTTACAGATATAGTTGGATATCAGTCCCCAAATTCCAATATCGAACAGGTGACATGAAATTGAAACATGAAATCTTCCTTTATCCTATTTTTGTTCATTTCTTGTCTCATGTCCAACCCTCTTTTGATTTCAGCCCTAATCTAAAATGATATATGTTTTATAAATCAGGAAGATAAAAAGATACACGGAAATCAGCAGCTCATTATGAGAGGAGAGGTGTAGAGGTGCGGAGTGTTGGGACTGATAGCAAACCATTTTCGATGTGCCATTTGTCTAGAGCGGCACATTGTTTGCTCTTCTTCCCAGAGAGACAGAGAGATGGAGAGCATTATCAGGCAGGTGGCGGGCTGAGACACAGAGGATCGGGGAATTGGACAGAAGCCACATTTAATTCAATTCAAAAGCAATCCGCTCAAAGCCCCAACCCAAGTACAAAGCCTGCCAGAGACCACAATGGAACAGCTGAGCCCAGCATCCCTTTGCTTGTTTAGGTATGTTTGTAAGAGAGAGGGGAAAAGGAGAGGTTAGTCCTTTCTAACTTGTGTCATAATATGGTCAGAGGAATACACACATACACACATATACACACACATACACACATATACACACACACACACACACACACACACCTCAGACCAACACTGTTTTCATTTTCCTCTCCAGCACTCTTGTGTGTTTTAGTCTTAAAATGAGCTGTGGTGAGTGGCATCGTGGGTTCTATCTATCTTGAGGCAGCAGACAGCATTTTTACTTTCAACCAACAAAAACTTGGTCTGAAGCCAGGATTGCAGTATTAAACTGTATTTCAGTATTAAGGTATAATTATTATTATTTAATTCATGAATTTATAATCGATAATTTTATATCACAATAGTAATTTGCACATACACTACCATCTAGCTAATTTGCCAGTACAACAGCAATAAATCAAGGAAAAAGTGCAACTGGTTTTTAAAGGGAATGAGAAACGGCACATGATTAGGACACTCTGAACCATGCATCTGGTG